AGTTATTAAATGTGGAGTTTGCCATGAATCCTGCTGAAAGAATATTCGAGGATTGAAGGGAAACTATCCCGGGATTGGATGACGAGGCGGAAATGGGAACGTTAGATGACATGCGATCAATGGACTGGCTTCGGTCCTCAGTCTGCGATTTAGGAATACACCCAGGGCTGCATGTAGAAACGGTAAGTCTGCTAAGTGTGTCGCTCATGTTTTTCTTTTGGATCGTGGTACAGTCTCTGTTATAACTTCTAACCGAAGCTTCACTCTTGTGTCCGCTCATATGCATTATGTGTCTTATTTCATACCCGACATCGTTCATCCCCTGAATAGCTGTTGCCCGTAAACAGTGGGCTGTGTACCTTCGGGAGCAATCAGAATGCTTTGAAATATCTGCCATAAATCTAGTAAATTGGTATGGTTTAAGTGGAATGTTGTCATACCAAATTTCCGGGGAAGAAAGTGCGGCTTTGATACAACGATTAAACAGGAACTCGGCAATTTGGATCTGTTTTTGATATAAAGAGTTTAAGCGTTTTTATCGGACATTTATCTCCGGCGCTAGGCACAGCATACATACGCTTTTCCTTTGGATTTTCTGTAGAGCCGATCCCACCTTGCCAATTTTTTTGTTTTGTTTCGTGAGATAATGTGACATACTCATCGCCATTTTCATCCGTTTTGAAAACAAAAGAGTCCCGTTTCAGTTGGTGATGGAATTCTAATCCACGTGTGACAAATTGCATTGAAATTATGAACCATGTTCTGTAGCGGAGGGTGATTGGATTTTCTGTATCAAAAAGGTAAGCAGAAATTTTGAGCAAATCAGCTTGAGGTATAATTTCCTTATGCTGTGTAGGCTTTGATAGGCCGTCCTGCAGATTTTTCTTCAATTTTCCATCTAGAATGTTGTTACTAGTGCGGAATTCCCTTCCCCTAACAATATCAAAATCCCGTCCCAAGTCCTGTAGGTATCTGTTGAGTGCTGATCTGATAGATTTGAAAGAATTTTTATGGTATTCCATATTTTCATTATTTTGGCTAGGTTTTCGTTTGTCTGACTGTTTACATGCTTCTGCATAAAATCTGCCAAGGAGTGTGTTCAAATCACTGGCAGATATGGTCTCGAAATCTGTCAGGTATCCTAGTGATTCCATACTCCAATCTAGAAAAAAAAAGGGGGGGGTTAAAAATTGTCAAAACACCAGAAAAAACACCTGGATAGCTTAAAGAAAGCGCTTATGATCATATGTCATGAGAGATTTGGGTGCAATTCCCAATCTGGGTTAAAATAATGGTGTATTGATATATTAATATTGCTTTACCCCTTTCAACTTATAAAGATTTTTTACCTTGAAATAATTTAACACCCCATTTGGTGTTATTTTTAGTAGATCTTGACTGCCTTTTTTCCTGTAGGTCAAAAAGTTCCTTTTCTGTGGCAGTTTTGAACCTCCTACATGTAGATTGTCCAGAAGGATTTTCAATTTTTGGTGGCGCAAAGTTTTCTTTTCTTTCAGTAGAAAATGCAGCCTCTAATTCCTTAATTGCATCTTCTGCTGATGTGGAAACAATTTGTTCCAATTGGAATTCGTCATCAAGGAGGAAGTCTAGAGACCCCCAGTCTACATCATCTTCATTCTTTGTTGATTGATCAAGATGTTGATTAAAATTATAATTTAAATCAAAGTTTGATGCCATGTTTAAAAAAGATGTTTATAAACAAAGCAGACGTTCTGTGACCGGATGTCACAGAAAACATTACTCACCCAAAATCAATCCTTAATTTTTTTGCTAAATGTGCATAAATGGAAGAAGAAATCTTACTTTAACTAATACATCAATAAAGTTGACGAAGAATTTATACTTTTTAATAATTTTATTTCCTTTACTATCTAAGTTACATAAATCATGTAAACAAACAATGACATGCATCTATGCATATGTAATATTTACATGCACATACATAAAAAGTAGTTCCGGCAGGGGTTGTCAAGGGGGCGTGGCACCAGAGCAAACCAGATTATACAAAATGGAATAAATATTTCCTGTGTGTTTAACCAATAAAAATGCATGGTACAAACAAAATTAAATTAATACTATATAAACACCAATTGCTGAAAGTCTTCGAGTGTGCAAACGACAGACGATTTCGATAAATAATCTGTTTTGTTGGAATAAACTTTTGATTTTCATTACCTTTTTTGTCTTCAAATTTCATCATTTTGATTTTCAAGAAATATAAACTGTTTTAAACCTGTTCTCTACAGTACATATAATTTTATGTTATGGTCACATTTTTTCTTTGTCTCAAAGCATAGTTTTTATTGTACATGTATATACTTTACTGTCCATCTACTTTAAAGCAGCATTTAAAATTAATCATGAACAGTAATTTTCTTCTTTTTTTTTCCCGCAAATAAAAAAACTACAAGAGTTGTTTTTCTTTTTTAACTTTGGTGTGAAAACTGTACGAGTTGTTTATTTCTTTCTTTTTAAAAAAAAATATTGCACGAAAAAATTGACTTATTGTAATATTTCATGAGATTTTTGCATTACTGTTTTTGTCTTCAAAGGATCACTTCATTATAAATAGGGATCTGACCTATAGGACCGGGCTTGGTTTTATTCTCTACAAAAAGCTTGTCGATTTCCGTTCTGATTAATGACATTAGGCTGTATACATATAACAATTTGTTTTTCCTAAATCTTTATTACAGTGAGTAGAGATAGGAGGAACCCTTTTTATTGATTTTCTGATTTGTTATCTCCAAATGTAATAATTGATATTTGTCTTTACTTCTCATTGTGCAGAAAGGTAATGTCTACTGTCTCTGAAATTCTCTTCTTTATGTCTAGGCTATTTATCCGTGGATATAATAAAAACTTGTCATTAATGTGTGCAAATTATAAAGGCTTAAATGAAATCCAAGGGAGTGCATTTACTGTAGCAAAAATCAATGTGATTAAATTCTAAGGAATATATACAATTGAAATTCATCGCAGCTCAATGCTGCCAAGAATACCCATATTGAGTAACACACAGTGAGTTATTCTTGTCCTCGGAGAAAGTGTGCTTATACTGAGGTTCGTTCCACCTGACTGACAACTGTACATTGGATTGTTACGATTTGATATCTCTTTAGTGTTTCTTATATCAAGAATGGGCATGCATAAGTGATAGAAAATTGAAGAAAAATTATCCAAGTCTATAAAAAAAAATTAAAATAGTCTTTGGAAAGGCGAAATTAAAAACTTTATAAGTGTTGTACCAAGTGGATTCGAACCCCCGACTTTAAAAAGAGAGTATCCAAGGTATAAAAGTCAGTTCATATATCAACTGAGCTAGTCTGACTATAATAATGAAAGGCATAAATTTAAAGCAGATTATGAAAATCTGGTTTCCTTATTTTTTTATAGGTTTTTTGTGAATTTCGACCTCAGGGCAGGGGTGCCCCTAAAAAAATCTTATCTTAAATTATTCCTTACATCTTAACCTATCAAAATATCACAATTTTATTTAGGGGCAGGCCTGCCCTGATGGACTTCAAGGCCAAAATTCATGCAAAAATCAACGCTTTAACTAACAAAATGGTGTTTCGGTCAACTTTGGAGGTTTATTGTAAAGTTGTAAATAATAAATTTTAAGTATAAAATACAAATTAAAAAAATTTAGACATATATACGGTAGAAAACAACAAATAAAGATTGATTTTTAAATGTCATTTTTTCCGGGAAATTGTTCTCCCCTATAGGTCAATTCTTTTGTTAAAGCGAATACATCCTTTCGTCATTCTGATTTTCAAGAAATATAAACTATTATCTTTCGTCCCGTTCGAGAATAATTTTTTACTCATAGAAACTCACTTTATACCGAAGGGCTACAATTTCGACACATTTGGCACTCAAGGCTACTGAGTTGTGGGGTTTCTTTAATTTATCGTGCCAATTCCTACAGTTAGTTCATAAAGGCTCACCCGATCGCGAATAACTTGTGACTTCGCTTCTTATGTAGAGAACTTGGCAAAAGAAGTGTCGCAACTTTTGTTTTTGTCTTACAATTGACGCAGTATGCACTTATGGAGGTCCCTGAAAGGAATGTTGTCAAATATAATCCCAACGCTTTAGTTGCTTTGTTGTTTAATTCAAATCCTTTCAGTCCATTTACTATAGAATGACTGGAATATCCCCTCGAAAATCTCAATTTAATATCATTCCCGGACATGGGGAATTTTCTCCCGGCACTTTTTATGTTAAAGAATTCGCCTCAAAGAAAACACAATCAATTTCATAGCAAAAGGATATCCGTATTTCGTTGAACTTTCAAAAAAATGTAGCCTTTTTCTTATTTTAAACATGTCACGTGACAAACAGCTGATGTAAATGAAATCGCTTCGGCCGACTCGGAAGAGGAGACATAATATATATATGCAAAAGGCTGAATCCTTACTCATCAGAACATTTGATTTTTAAAGATAAATCAACTGTAAATTCATTTTGTTTGAATATTTGAAAGCGTATTCCCTAAGGGTGATACCTAGCTGCGATAAGTATATTTTCCTAAATTTTTCAATAGCAATATTTTAATGAGCTTTCGTGTTTATGATCATCAGAAGTGATTATTGTTCTTCACTGTGTATCTTACAAGTAAAGTCCTACTCTGCCTTTCAGAAATGGAAGTTATGAGTCCGAGTCCTTCAGATTAGACCTAAAAAGCCGATTGAAAAATCAATCAATCAATCCATTAGCGATGGAATAAATGCTTACCGGTCGGTAGGGCTGCCCACTCCTCCATGGTACCTGATCCCACTTCTGATGTTTTGGAGGTCCGTGTTTGCACTGCAACTATTTTGTATTGTTTTATGGACTTTTGATATGGAATACTGTTCGTTATCTCCATATATGTCATTAGCACTGTAGCATTAACCCCAAAATTTACGGTCATTAAAAACAAACAAAAGTACGGAACATAATTTTGTTTTCATAAACAAAAAATCAACAGCTTTTAGTTGTAAACATTGATATTTATTTAAAATCCATTTTGATTCACCGGAAATTAGTTGAAATGAAATTTCATGAAATGTCGTCCTTTTCACATTGCATTCACACCCCCATCCATCGACGTGGACGTCCCCGTCATGTTGTCGGCCCCAGGTGAACACAGGTATAAAATGAAGGAGGAAATCTACCAAGAACAAAACAAACGTGTATAAATTTCTTTACATTGAAAATAAGAGCTTTCAGGACCTTATAAGGTTAGCCGAATTTAAACAACACTTTAAAGAATCCATTACGTATGAAATAAAAAAAAAAGATAGATCGGTATATTTTACCAATAGCAGTTAAATTAAAGAGATCAGCGAAATAAATTGTCTTTGCTAATACTTCTCATAATTGTTCAAATTTCACCATTCAGACTGACCAAAATAAAAATACTTCGCAATTAAATAAACCCATCACATCTTCCACTAATTGCCCTCCCTTGAACTTCACATCTTCCACTAATTGCCCTCCCTTGGATTTCAGAGAAAATTCATCGTACTAAGATCAAAATATTCTTGTCTTGTTTTGATTATGCATTATTCTCTTATTCAAATGACCCTTCAATAAACAACAACTTTTAGAATAATAATTGTATTTATGTATTGAATGTGATGATATCTTATTTGGAGGTTTCCGGTAGGATTAATTTTGGTAAATTGTGAAAATTCTTAGATCAACGCCTTGGCTGATGGATTACGTATAATAGAAGGTGTAAGGTCACGTTGTCAGCTCAGCAAGTCATTCAGTTGTATTGTGATAACCCGCATGCTGACCACGCTAACATGAGGCACGTCTATTTTGAAGATTGGTTACAACTTCTGTGATTGTTTAACTTAGCTGAACGTGCCTTGGCTTTCTGTCGAGATGAACTTCCAAAAGAATTGAAAAGAACAAAGTATTGTTCATATTGTAAAGTGCTGTTTACAAGTGCGTGTGGATTTTCTGGTTTATTGTTTACTGATGCGATGGTACATGTGCTCGGGTTATTATCAAATATAATACCTGATTACTGTATGATACACTTGGTGTACATGGTGTCCCAAAACATATGTTACACTTTAAATCATCTATAACTTTATCAAACCAAAAACTTCAGGAATCGTGTTCAAACAATGTTTATATTCAAAGGGACGTCATTTGGAACGTGTTGTAAATTGACATATGTTGTTCTAAAGAAAAAAAAATGTTGATTGATGATAAGGAAATTGTGACAAATGTATGCTTTACAAAAATTTACAATAATTTCACTATATATTTTTAAATCTCATTACTGTAATTTGAGACACGGTTTAAAAGTGTAACATATGTTTTGGGACACCCTGTATATCAGTATTTTTCTGCCGATATGAACTTTATTTTATGAACAGATATTCATGAAAAGAACATTTTCCATGGAGCTTTACTTTATTGCGACTTTTTCCTACAGTCTGAGTTTTGAAAGGATTTCAGAATACTATTTGGAATTGATTGAACGAAACAATCGGATACCTTTAAGGTCAGACGACACGTTCCTCAAAAATATATAATTTTTCCTAAGAATTTGTCATTTAAGTAAAGGTACGTAAAGAAGTTTCCTAAAAAAAAATTAGGGTTCCTTACCAGGCATATGGACAAGATAACACAGGATCATATTTCTTATATAACCCTTATAGGTAATCTTATGAATGACCTATATCACAAATTTTGGTGTTCATATCTAAAAACATTTTGAAAACAATACAGAAATCAGAAGAGAATGACAAATATGAAAAATTTTGATATAATACCAAGAAATACAAAACATATATTTGAGGAACGTGTCGTCTGACCTTAATGATTACTATCTCAATATCGATCAGCATGATTAGTGGACACAGAGTTCGATCAACTGGGTCCACAGCGGGAGACCCTGAACTTCAACGACTTGGGTGTTTTAGGTCCATGCGATAACTTATTTGGAGGTTTCCGGTAGGATTAATTTTGGTAAATTGTGAAAATCCTTAGATCCACACCTTGGCTGATGGATTACATGTATTAGAAGGTGTTATTAAGGTCATGTGGTCAGCTCAGCCAGTCAGTTGTATTGTGATAACCCGCATGCTGACCACGCTAACGTTAGGCACGTCTATTTTGAAGACCCTTCTCCATCCCTGCATTCTTACCCCTTAAAATGGGTATTAATGTGTCTTGTAAAGTCCTATATTTGATTAGTTCTGACTCCATTTGTTTATACTGTTTTTATGTATGTTGTTTCACTACTATCCTTGGCCTATTTTGTTTTGATGTGCCATCTTTTTCCTAACTTTTTCAAATGATGTTTTGATTGTCTTGTCTTACAGATACTTTTTTCTAGTCATTTTTGGGGGATCAGACATTATCATATTTTACGTAACTGATAATCAAAGCTTGTGAATCTGATCCCCTTCTTGTTTGTTAAATTGTTGTATACCGTCATTTTTAATAAATGACATTATTCATCTCTATGAAAGTGTTTTATTTAACTTATACAAAATTAGCAAAAACAAGTTGCGGTGAGCTTGCCTATAAGCATAAGAATGCATAAATATTGTTTACTGTTCGTTATCTCCATATGTCTGATTACATTAAAATAACTTCCCTTATTTCATTACAAATTATTAGGAACTTGTCAAGTACAAGAACACTTAACATAGAATTTTAAGAAATATGGTAAAGCACCCTTCTTCTTGAAAATTTTGTTCTGTATTTGCTACCTTGATGCAAATGAGGTAGGAGCAGAAATGATTCCATGCCTACTGTACAATTAATATCTTCTACTGCATAATTAATATTATCTAACCCTAGAACAATCTCCTTGGACATTAACAAAACAAAAGTAGGCACTCTAACTCATCATAATTATCCAACAGATTATGTGCAAAATACTGAGTACTCAGGAATGGAGAAATTTTCAGACTATTCATGTATATTCACTATCCAAACTTTTGTCAAAAGAGCCTTGTCATAAAACTACCTTGAACTTGGACAACTAGATTAATAGATTTTGAGCGAGAAAATGATTTTTAAAGAAATTAATAAATGCAGTTTTAATATTTTTAATCAAAAGAGGCCCGTCGGTATACCAGAACCCCTGATTAAATTGAGTACATTGTTTTACGCAGGCAAGACCTGTTAACGATGTAAAAAAAATATATCCTCAAATACTTGTTACAGATTTAACTAAATGATATAAAGACTCATTGTATATCTTACTTGTGTGGCACTAGAAAACCTTCTAGTGGGTAGGTATGTCTGTACTAATTGCTGAAATATACGAAAGGAATTAAGTCTTCGAGCATTTATGAATAAATTTTGAAATGTGCAAGACAGTGGAGGCAAATGACTGCGATTTCAATAAAAAAAATTTCAGAAACTTTAATGTTAAATGGAAAAATTATCGGATGTGAATGTTATTCGGTGTATATCATCAAATTTTTTAAATGGAAATAAAAATAATAGATGTTTTGTCCTCCAGGATACCAAAGTAAATGGAATAAGATTAAGAACGTAAGAATTTTTTGTTTGGTTGTGTTGCATATGGTTAATTTGAGTAATATAAGGATCATTTTGCATCTTTAATATTTAAATTAAATACTAGCTGAGTTATGATATTGAAAAATTCCATTTGATAATCACTTAACATCCTAAACTTTTAGGATTTTAATTCCAAATACGTACATTTTACAAAGAGCTTTGATATTTTGATATCATGTTATATATATATATTAAATTTTTTATTTACTTACCTTTGCATCTTGTATTGATACATTCTTATCAACTGCATGAGTCTTGACAACATCATCAATAACTAGTAAATAAAAACAATGTAGAATTAAAGTATTGTAAACAACAGATATTCACAGTAAAGTGGAAACTATTGCTGAGATTGATTGATTGGTTGATTGATTGATTGATTGATTTATACCGGGATATGGTATTTTTACGTCCCTTACAAGTTCATTTCATTGTATGAGACATCAACAGATGCAAGTGAATGACTGCTAAATGTATTTTAAAAATTGACAAAATAACTGTAGAAGGGAGGTTAAAACGAAAGCTTCATCATCTGCATGGACGTTAACCATCTAAATGCACCATTATGCTCGAAAATCGGTCATACTGATTCACCGAGTTCAGGGATATTAACTGAAATTTGCGTTTTCATCAAAACCACTAACCGTAAACGAAATCAGTTTTCAAGGTAAAAGATAATTTTTAAAATTGTAATCTGCTGATCATATGACCGAAATATCTTGATAACAAAACAAAATTTAATGGAGCCAAATGTACTTTAACTTACGTTTTACTGTGTTATTTGGGTTGCATCTTGAAATCTTTCATTATATTGCAAGACACACATAATAACATGTAGTCAACATAATACTTATATTTTTAGTTGTGGATACTGGGTATGTGACATATCTTGTCAAATTTTTGACTGAACATTATGCTTATCTTTTCAAACCAATATCGTTTAATGATAATAAGTTCTGAAGATTATGCTTATTTTTTGAAACAAATTTAAATTTCAAAGATATTTGTTAATAAGTTTAAAGTAAGGGCTTTTGACTGTGGAAAGATCTCAGTACTTAGTTCACTAACATCCACTATCCATTGGTCCTGGACACACAGCATTGACCGTCACTCCTTTGTCAGCCACTTCCACAGCTACAGCCTAAAAATAAAAAGTAAGGCTTTAACTCAACATTACTGTTTCTGAAGCTTGATGAATCTATGTGCATGTTTCCTGTTAAATTTTCAAAAGCTTGTATAATAGCCATTTTCCCCTCTGGCAGATGCCTGTATTTCTTTTTCAAGGTTCGCTGAAGCAGAAGACAAAACATACCCGTGTGAGACCTAGGAGGCCAGACTTGGAGGATATATAAGCTGCCGCTTTGGGTATGGCTGTTAATCCCAGCTGTGAAGAAACGTATATGACACGGCCCCAACCTACGGTGAAAGCATGGATTTTTTCTCATGTTCAAAATCAATGACATGAGGAATCGGCCGTTGAGAAAATTGCTTGACTCAGATTGAGATGAGTAAGATGAGAAACTAGGTTTGATCAGCTCATAGCTAGTTAAGTTTATACTTCCTGCATTGTTTTAGCATGCTTTAATTAAGAAAGATAGAGCATTTATCTTGGAAGTTAAGATCAATCCTGAACGCATGCAAGAAATACGGTTAATTTGAAGTCCCATTTTAAGTTCCTAAAATAAGATACTCACATTTATTTAAATTTTACCTTTATCTTTCATTTTTGGTATGACGTATTGTGTGATCATGAATGCCGATGTGAGGTTAATTGAGATCTCCCTGGACCATTGCTCCAGAGTTATGTCCTCTACTAGTGACCCAAAGCAAAATGATGCTGAAAAAAGAACGTTAAGTTTAATTAAAGTAAAGATTTCGTTTTTACTTAGAGTTTAAAACAAGAGGTCCATATGTCTTGATAATCAGAATGAAAGGTTCTCTAAATAAAAAACCATAATTCGTTCCATTACAGAAGATAAACAAAAGTCCTATGATGTGAAAAGACAAATGTTTTCAAGAAAACCCCTTGCTTACATTGTACAGAAAGGCTATTCAAACAAATTTAATCAGTTTTACAAAAGATTGCATTTGTTAGTACAACGAAAAAAACTCATAATATTCAGCGATAACAAAATTCCTTTTTTTTCTTTTCAAACATGAAGAAATAAATTATACATTGCTGACATTGTTCCAAGAAGTAATATATGACATGGTGGTCAAGTTGTACATATATTTAAAAGGAAATTTTTTGTTTATTTCTACACTCTATAGATATTCAGAAAAAATGCGCCTTTTACATAATGCAAAGCATGTTATATAATAACAGCTTGTTCTAAGAAATTATTCATAATTATATCAACTAAATATACCTGCATTGTTTACAAAAATATCAACACCATCGGGTCGCTTTTTGTCAATTTCCCTGAACATGTTTTCGATATCCTCTGTTGATGCCAGGTCACATGTAATGTACATCATATTTTCATTGGACCTTTAAGAAAAGATTTTAAATTCTTCTAAAAGTGTCTATTGATACAAAGAGATGTGTCACAAATTTAGGTTTAGAGCACATTCTCAATTACGACTTTTTCAATTTTTCAAGGATATCGTTGATTTCAATATAGTTACCATACACACTAATTTTATTTTTCTCAGTTGTAAATGAAAAAAAAAAACATTTGTAGAACATGTAAAGCTAAAAAAAATATATGATTGAGTAATTTATCACAATAAATATAAATACAACATTCTAACTTTTACTACTGGCTTGATTGAAATTGGTTGATGGTGTAATTCGGGAAAAAATTCTTTTTCATTAAAATTTCCTGTAATATTTTAGAACATATATAAGTGTAAGGGTAACTTTATAGATTAAAATTAATTTCATATAGCAAATTCTGATATTGCATAATAATTTTCTATAGTTCAGAGATATGAACATACCATACTTTTGTAGAATTATACATATATATATATATATATATATATATATATATATATATATATATATATATATATATATATATATATATATATATATATATATATATATATATATATATATATATATTTGTTATTGTTACAGTTAATTAAAGAATAGTGAAGACTATGCCTAAAACAAATCTTAAAACCCCCTTCCCCAAAAAACTGCCTCTAATTAAGTTTAGCAAAAAGCAGCATTTTGCTTTTTTACAAATAATAAACACAAGAACTGTATGAACTGTGGGATTGTACTGATTGTCCACTCTAATTAAAGTTGTTTTTTTTTCAAGAGCTTTTTGATCAATTACTTATTTTAAAATTCCAAGTCTGGGAATAATATATTTAAAAAAAATAAGGATTATTTTAAAGAGATATTTTATTGTTTGTGTTAAACCAATATTTATGCATGTACAAACTGTCTTAGAGATTATTATATCAGCATGTTTTAGTATCCTATGTCCTATAGCAGTCGTTTTAAACATTCAAGTTCTTTTTATGAATTTTAATCGGACAATTCTAAGAAATGGCATGGTGGCTCAATTATTCCATTTTTTAAGAGTTCATCATTAAGTCAAAATAAATGGATATATTTCATGATTATTATCTATCTATGTCTTCCACGAAATGTAACAACGTAACCATTTTAAACCGGGGTATCATGATTGTCTAACAAAAACTTATTTTTATCCCCACATTTCAGTATTTCTCCCATAAATGTATCGACAGACAATCGGAAGTTTTTTATAAAGAAGACAAATTTGGAGCAGAGCAATCATGGACCTCCAAAACATCAGAGGTGGGATCAGGTACCATGGAGGAGTAAACATTCCTGCCTAAACCCACCCCGCCCCTAACCTGCCGTGTGCTTCTTATCATGATCGGAAACTAAAGAGAAAATTCGTCGTCAATGCAGTGTGTAAATAATGGCCAAACAATTAGTATGAAAACGTCATTCAGCATTTGATTAAAGCTTAAAAAAAATTCTGCAATCAAACAAGAAAAATTGAACCTTAGAGATACCATGGTGGGATCAGGTGCCTAGTGTGAGTGGATATTCCTTGTCAAAGGTCATATCCAAGTCCTATGTATTAAACAGGTGAAAGGAGTACTAGTATTCAATAATCACCTGCATAAAGGGTTAATGACAATAAAGTATTACAGCAATGAACTAAATAGAATAAAAATGATTTACCATAAATCACGAAAATCCGACCCCAATAAAAGTATGTTAAATTATATTTATAATGGTACACTTAATTAAAAACAATAAAACTGGTCAGACTGCAATAAATGCGGTATTACAAAACTAACATTTTTTTTTAGCTTAAACTAATACATAATAGAACAAGCCTTTATTACAAAATACATTTTTTTTATCAGGTCAATGCATGCAATACCTACACAGCATTTAATTCCTCGAAGAAATCGTCAGCAGAATATCTAGGGACGCGGTCAGTTGCTATAATGAAACATCCGGCTTGGACTAAATCTTTGATAATGGTTTTACCTAGCTTTCCAGTGGACCCCGTTACAAGAGCCGTCTTTCCCGTCAGACAAAGTGACATTTTCCCTGCAACAAATAATGAAAATATCGGAAAAAATCCAATCTGGTCTGCCGATTTTACTGGATACAGCGACTAAATGACTCAAAATAGGACTGTAGCAATTAAAGAGATACAGGCTATGGAGAGAAGGTGAAAACTACACTGACATATATCGCTGTTTATCTCGTCCTATATCTAGGTTACCTGAGCAGACAACTCCTGCCTGATCTCAAAGACAAAAAAGAACTGAATCAATCAAGACGATCCTGTAGACTATGTCTGGGTAGCATCAGTGAATCCCAGTAATCACGATCCACGAAGATTCATTAAGCCAGTGGTCTTCAGAAACCTTTGAAGAAGAAATAATAATTTATTTAGTAGAAGTACTATCGATTGCCCTTTCATTCAATGAAATACTGCCGTTTGAATGCATCAGCTTTTCGTTTGTTTGAAAAGGACTGAAAAATTTTGAGTGTTATTAAAATATTGCCTTGTATGGCCATCAAGGCTTTTAGTAGTTATTTGTCTTTCTATTAGAAATTAACTGTAAATGCATATTTGACAATGCTTAAGTCACTTTAATATTGTTAATGTACCTGTATCTAAAGAGGTTTTGGTTTCTTTTTTTTCTTATACATGTATGGGAAAACCAGTGCAAAAACACATTTTGCAAATGTTTTCATATTGCTTTTAATGCAATACTTTGTTCAAATTTTGACTGCATTTTCTTGTCTCAACAATTTATGAATATACTGTTTGTTGTTTCAAATAAAAATTCTCCCTGCCTTAGTCTGCTTTCGTTTAACGTCTTATTTCAACATATAGACAGAAAATGAGGATAAAATGAGTGCATTAGTATCTCAAAACCCTAGCGATAACCTCTTTGTTTCATTGATTCTGATGATTCATAAAGGGAAACAAGATGTGTTTGTGAAACACTGATGCCCTCGTATGGCAGCTTATGGCGAGGTTTGAATTTTCTCAGATACATGTCAAACCCCAATGGTCAATGTTAAAACGTAGCCAAAGGAAGGTTTTGTTACAAGAAATACACCTGTCGAATATGAAAGCCCTATTTCAAACTATTCAAAAGTGATGGCTATGGTTAAAGAGTTTAAAAATTAGGTAAACGCTAAGGTCAAGGTCGAAAGGTCAAAAATATTTATACCCACTGAAAGGTATATTCAGAACAAATACACATTTGGAGAATGAAACCCCTTCTCCAACTGTTAATACAGACAGACAGACGGACATGGCAAAAACTATATCCCCCTAAACTTCGTTTACGTAGGCATACAAAAATTGATTAATCAATGTGGATATAATTAAATGAGGTCAAATAAATGAATTTTTCCTTAAAAAATATGCAAATTATGAAATTTTCAAAAGTACTTTAAAGTTTTATGCATTTCTTTACCGATAGCTTGTAAATTCTATAATAGGCCTTTTTTTCCGTTTATTAGGATTGTACAAAAATGTCATCATCAGATTGCATCCCAGGTGTTAAAACATGATTCGATTCGATTGTGTGAAATATTTTAAAAGAAAATTTATTCAGGCTTTGTCTTTATCTTCTGTATATGGTACGTCGTGGTAAGCAATAGTAGCTTTTATATGACGATCTATTAGTGACTCTCTTGTTTGTCAAAGAAGCTTTCGTCTCTCTTGTGGGTTATGATAGGTACGGAATCTATCTTAAAGCATGCTGCACGCATGCTTTAAGACAGAAAGCATGTATGCAAGCATAGCTCTGTACTAAACTGTATCTTTAAGATAAGTTTTATTGAAAAGTTTTTTTTTTTCATTGGACGATATCAGCAAAATACATATAAAGAGCGATACATTTGATATAAACTCTAGGACTGTGTAAAATTTACATGTTTATCGTCATTAAAAAGGGCAGTCTGGGAGAAGACTTGATTTTTGTTTCAAAATTTAAACGTTATTGACAAAATTTAAATTTTTTTCATATTGTTGCTGATTTGGTCCACAATTAACAACTTGCATGTATGAGGAGTGGAACCAATGAGAATCACCAATGGAAGATATTTTCAAATTAGAATAAAAAAAGAGATCTGATCTCGTTATTACTAGGTTTCTCTTTCTTTTTTCCTTGGATTTACCCCCTTTTATGTCTTAACATTTGAGTTTTAGATATATTTTTCACAGAAAAATTATTAAAATATGTTGTATACATATATGTTATCAGAGTTGTTAAAATATTTTTGTTTGATATCTAAAATCAAAATGAAAGTAAAAGTTGATCTAAGTCATTGTCTTAGTACTGAGTAACAATATAATTTTTTTTCAGAAAATCTAAAATTATATGTTTTACATTACCTCGAAAAAAGTAAAGTACGATGCCAATGTTTTCACAAGAGAAACTAGTTCATTATAAATGGAATGACTTTCTTTCAGACATCAACATCCGCTGAAAAGTTCAACGGCCGACTTGCTTTAATGAAATACATAATGTAAATCGATCGACATTACCGAATTGAATAAATTTACTTCTCAATCTCAATGAAGGCTGTTAGCAGAGCATCAAGTAGGACATATTCGTCTGCTCTCATACTACTGAAAATCGTTATTATTTTAATGTATTGTATGAAAAATAGATTCTTACCTTTAAGTCTTTGTATTTTTCCACTTCTCAAAACATAAAAGTTGTTTTTATCTTATTTGACCAAAAAAAAAATTAAAAAAAGGATTACTCTAATTGAAGTCTAATCGGTTGATGAAAGTAAATCAGAAAAGTAAAATAATTTATATATGCTATGCAATTTAATCAGTTCCCTACTCCAGCTCACTTTACCATATACTACGTAAATAGAGCATGACTCTTGTTTGTAGGAATTTGAACAGATCCACGTGTTCAACCTTTTTTTAGTTCTTATGTAATGAAAACAGGAACTAACATTGATTTACTACAATCATGCGATGAACTTTTATTTTCGGTACAAAAATTATGTAAAGCAAGGTCATACATGTGTCAAATATATTTTTATGACGTAGAATAACGGATTTAAATCTCGATTTATACGTCACAATGTATTTATATTACTAACTAGACATATGTATATTTAACACAATTTGATATATCAGAAACGTTTATTTTATAGTGGCATGTATTTAAAACATCATTCTGTGGCATATGAACACTTACAGTCATTTAATTATCACCTTTCATCTTTTTAGCTTCACATTATCAAAACATTCCCTTATAATAGTAGTCACTTTCTTCAATTCAATACATGTACATAAAGGATCATTATGGTTCCCATACTTAATTTGACAATGAATTGTTAAATTATTATACAGACTTTGTTACTTTAAGTGATACGAAAATTGATTTATCTTACAATTGAAAACAACATGTACTTTATACTTGGCAGTCACAGAATTTTGGATGATAATATGTGATCCAGATATTCAGAGTTCGTGCTGTTACATCACCGTATTTTGATGTTGTTGTGATTGTGGTTGTTTTTAATTGCATTTAATGGTTTTATTTCTTGTTTAAGTTTTAATGACGGTTTGTCATCAACATCCTAAGGTAAATTTTAATAACAAATGAGCAATGCTGTTTTGATAATTTTTATGATACTTTTTATCAGTAAAGGAACTTTGTGTGATGTCAAATGTATTTGTGAAATATCAGCATTGCACAATAATCCTTAGTTCGTGTTTACGTTACGTTTTGCTTAAGTAGACATCATATTTAATACCATTAATATACCGGTAATTCATTTTGTATGTATGTTAATTTTAGTCATAAAGTGTTCGCCATATCATTACAATACTTACATGCAAAGATGCTAACTAATTCAAATAACTCAATAATAACACAACTGACATACTTTAATTCTTCTTGAAGGCAGATTACATAATGATGTCGGAAGGGACAATTTCTAGTGGTATATCTCAACAAATGCTGATAATGCACAGATCCTTATTTCACTTTTTTAGAATAGTTAAGTAGGTATTCCTGAAGAATGTTGCTTAATGTATAACTCTGCACTTAATAAAAAATAATTACATACTATTTATATATCTTAAGAACTACATTTGTAAAAGACCTGTTTCTCCAACATTGATGACTGAAACATCTTTTTGATAGGTATACTATTTCATATATTGCTAAAAAAAATTCGATCAGAAAAATTAATACATCAATGATGTGAAACAAATACTTGACATTTTTTTTTTTAAAAAAACTACAAATTGTATTACAAACAAATGTGCAGAATACGTTCAAATTTGAATAAAATAATCACAGAGTACTTTTCACATACTATAGTATTTAATCAATATTATCATTCGCGACATTCTCTTAAAAGATTACAAATGAGCATAATTATCTAGATTTGCTTTTGATATTTTCCAATCATTTTGATCAACAATTCTAAAATTTGCTTCATTTTTTTATAATCCCTTGCCATTATAATTAATTTTATCTGTTTAATATTATATCTAATGATTTAAATTCTACAAATATCGCAGTGATTTGGAATATTTTCATGAGGATGTTTTCACTACTGTTCAAAGAAATAAGTTCTTTTACCATTTAACTTGAAAAGGGAAATAAACTGGTTACCTTAAAGCGAAGTCATCTCATGTAAAAGTTCACTATAAAAATAAAGTAATTAATTTGATGATGTAGGTTATCCTATTTTCCACAGCTCATCTTCTTCTTGTCACGAAGACGAAAGAGTGCAGTGCTTGTTTGAAGGAATCTAAATAGACTAGTGCACATCTTCCACCTTTTTATAGTCCTTATAAAATTAGAATAGGAACTACATTAGAGCTGATTTACTAACATTAGCATTGATGATTCAATGAACATTACTTTTAAGTAAGAAATTAGATAATTATATAAAGCAAAATGAAGGTCATACTATGACATGTGTATTTTTGACTTCGAATGATAAATTATTTACAACTGAATTTCTAGGTCACAATCTATTTATGTTACTCCTGCCAATGTTTTGTAGGAGTGTTAACATACGCAATCCATGAAATTTAAGTGAAAATTTATTTTCAAGCAATAACATCGATCCATATAATTGCATATTTTTGTCAGCTCTTTTTTTAACCGCCGAATATGTTGTTAAGTCATTATTTACATGATAAAATACCATTTAAGAAGGTTAAATAAATTAATTGAATATGTAATGGGTATTTTTATTTTAAAAAATCACTAGTACCAAAACGTGCTTCGGACATGCAAAGATTTGACACTGAAGAATAATTCAGAAATCCAAACTTTTACAATAAATGATTTCTTTTGATTTGAACATATTTTATTGCTTATACTTTACAATCCAGTCTTCGAAAAATTAAAAATTAAGTTGAAATATCAGCATTCTTAAAGTCCAAGATTGCTGGAAAAAATTAAAATTATTACAAATTTACCTATATAATGATCATTTTTCATTATTTTGTAAAAAAGCATCACAAATGCAATTACTTACCATACAATTAACTCTGCATGTTTCTCAACCGCTAATTAACGCTAAAACACTACGGCAGTCAGAGCATGCCGAGAAATTTAATAAACGTTACCTTTATCAAATTGACTCGGCCCCCTTTTTGCACTAAAGTCAGTGTATTTTTGTCGAAGTTGAAAATAAGGAGCTAAATTTCTGTGGTGTTTCTAGGCTGTCATCTTACGCCATTAACAATGACGAAATTCAGTTCGTTTTGATTTATCTTACGCCCCGAAACCATTATATCGAAGACATAAGATGTTAAAGATGGCCATTTTGTTAATCATTTCGGCATAATAATACAGTATTTTTAGCTTATGTGTATAGTTGGCATTTTTAACTAAAAAGGAAAATGAATGTTCTCTGATTCATTGTAAAATTTGTGATAAAAATGTTTTAAATAAAACTGATTGTCTGAATTTATTTTGTGTAAAATTGGAATATGACAAAAAATTTAAAGCTATCATACCAGTGAGAATGCAGTCCAAGTTATCTTTCTTTCTCGATTATAAGTGTGATTTATTCTGTACGGGGTTGCATTGTTAGGACAAATATTTTTGATAACAATATTCAAAACAATCAGTAAGATTTTCATAATGCTTCGTCGTAGCTCAGTTATTTTAAAATACATGTAAAATAAATCAGAAACACTTCGAGTGATATTCTACATAGTTACATACCTTATGAATTACGCAAGAAAACGGATATAATTTTTAAATTAATAAAAATAAATGCATGTTTGGAATTCAAAATATTTTTGGTTTACGTGCGGAAAGACACTGTTTTACTCGGAATATTAACTGTCTATGAAGTTCCATAAATATTTCAGTGTATTAGAGGGGAAAATTTTGTCAATGGCATCAAGGCTGTAACATTTTTATTGCTTTTCTTGTGATAAAAAATGCACAAACTAGACTTCCTTAACTTTTTATTGAATTATTTGTAAAAATTATAATTAATACTAAATGTGTTTGTGTTCAACATAAGAAATAGTTTCATAGAATTGTTAACCATACACGAGAAAAAGTTTTTTACGATGTCTTATTTAAAATATGGATTAAAGTTCAATCTTTATCAACATAATTATGTTTTTACTGAATGTGTAAGGGTATTATGTATTGTGACAACGAAAATTCACCTTATTATAAAACACATCTTATTTGAAGGTGTGTAAAGGGTACAATAAAAACAAAGTCTATTTTTAACATAAGTACTATGTAAAAAGAACAAAATAATGACTGTTTCATTAAGTTTTGTGGACCATTAATAAAAGCCTTAGCTTTTGCATTAACAGCCAGTCAAAATGTCACGCCGATTTTTAAGAAGGCGACAAGAATTAAATGCCGATTCTATTGATTCATTGGGTTTTTATTGATAAATGCAGATTTGCATTTTTATCAATACATCCGATCTCAATCCATAATCTGAAGATAATGGTTTAAGGTTTTAAATACGTCATTTAGACTATAGATTTTGAAACGTTCATTTGCGACCACCCTTATAATGACAATCATCAAATGGCTATACAGATTTATATATGAAACGTAATTGAAACAAGTCATTTGAAAAGCAATTGAAACTTTAATGTTTGACCTTGAGATGTATTTTTGTTTTGTTTTTGAGTAAATGAGACTTTAAAGCAAAGAGGGGAACAAGAGAAAAAAACATGGACATCGGAGTTTCTGTCAAACAAAAGCGTTTGCCCAAAGAGAAGAGAGCAGGTAGTTTTTTATTGCTATTTATGACGATTTCAATGTAGATTTATCACATAATAAGATATACATACAATTAAAAAATTTCGGATAAGCTAAGTTAATTTAAATTATGCAAATCAATTCATACTTTGAAGAAGCATTTGGATTTGAAACTTCAAACATTTCATTGCACACAGCAAATAAATTGTTGTGTGTTGTGGTATTACGAATAATTTCATTTTTTTTAATTATTCATTTTAATTTTCCTATAAAAAGTGAACTTGTTTTATATTCCTTCCTACGTTAAGTTGTTTTGTATAAATTGTGTTATGCTGTTCAGCTTTACTTAATTGGAATGATAAAAATCAACATTAAAATGTTTATTTCTCGAAAAATTCTATTTTGATCAAAATATTTACGCTTACATCAACATAAATGTATTAAAGTACATGGAAATACCATATTAATTTTAATTTTCTTTTAAAAAGTGAAATATTTGTTCAGTTGTTTTTGAATGAATTGTGTGAACTGAGAACAAACTCGGACATCTGAGGTTGGATCTGGTGCTATGGAGCATCCTTCGCCGATCGGTCACACCCGCTGTATGCTCTGTGTCATGATCGGGAAACAACAGAAAAATCCGACGGCAATTGATAACATTAAGTATGAAAAAAAATTAGTCAGCATTGAACTTAGTGATAGATTGTATTTGCTGACAAGGTCATTGTATTGACCTCAGAACTTACGAAAGTGGTGATATTAAACGAGACTGCTGATATTCTTGATTCAGCGACTTGTTGTCAATAACTTACCTCTAAGATATTTTTCATACGTAGAGTTGCTCTTGCGTATCGAATCAACTAAGAGATGCAAAATCTTACATGCAGGCGATGAAGGAATATTGCTGTATAAATAACTGAAGTAAAGAGATAAAAAGCTCCTTTTGGAGGGTTTTCTAGAATGTGGACAGAGAATTTGAAATATTTCCTATATTCACTGTAAATGGTTTTAAATTGACAAAAAATTATTTTAAGTATACATAATTTGTGCATTGTTTCTCTATCGTTTAAACCTTGATACAGAAAACATCCATTGTTTCAAACAAGAAAATGTTAGAGATTATACCGATAAGACTTACTTTTAGTAGTTAATAATTCTTCTTCATTATTATGATTAATAAAAATTCAAAAGAAGTAATTCATTAAACTATGATGTGTTCTAAGGAACATATGGAGATAACGAACAGTATTCAAGTTCAAAGGTCCGTAAAACAATACAAAATGGGAGCACAGCAAACACGGACTTCCAAAGAATCAGATGCCATGGAGGAGTGAGCATCTCCTGCTGACCGGTCATACCTACCGTATGCTCCTTGTCATGATCGGGAAATAACGGAAACTATTCAAGTTCTATTTTATAAGCATTTGGAAAATAGATACTGATCAATAGAAGGTGAAGAGGGGGAATTTATTTTTTATTGTAGAATTGATGAAAATATTTAAATCTTTTGATGAAAATGGGGATGGAAAAGTTTCAAAGCACGAGCTAGCCCGAGCATCCAGAAGGGCTGGGAGCAATAAAACGCTCAAAGAAATAGAAAAAGTCCTCCAGACGATCCACACTGACAGTAAGATATATTTATATGTTGCCGTTTACAGATTAATATGCATGTCTTTAAGATTACAGTTTCATTTTTACATGTATTTTGTCTAACTTTCGTATGAAACTGGTGTCCTCTATATCTCCAGGTGATGGTTATATCACCTTTCCTGAGCTGGAGAGAATGTTAGCCGGACAGAGTGTAGAGATAGACTATGAAGACGAAATGTTACTTGCTAAATTCAATGAGTTTGATTTGGATGGCGATGGAACAATTACAAAGAAGGAACTGAAAAAGGTCCTTCGCTCAATGGGATGTGAAATGCCAGAGGAAGAAGCCGAGGCAATGATTCGGGAAGCTGATAAAAATGGCGATGGTGTCATCAGTTTCGATGGTAAACTGATTTTGCTTCTTATTGAATGTTTGTATAAAATATAAAGCCTTCACACTTAATAATTATTCCTAATCTTTAATCTATTTCAACAGAGTTCAAGGCTGTTTTAACGAGTGGAGATTTCTAATGACCACCTATCTTTTCATCTGACAACGTGTACTGTGTTGAGATTCTACACGGCATAACAAGGAACATTGCAATAATCACTAAATCTGAATCCATTGTGTAATTTAGGGATCCTCTGCGTTATTAAACTTTTCTCACTGTGATTTTCTATGCTTTATAACATATGAAAAACATACCCATGTAAAACTGTGTGTGTCTCTTAACCCATATTCATCATCGACTATATAAAGCTAAGAAACTTTTCATAAAATGTCAATATTTATATCATTAAACGCATTGTTTAAAATGCTAAATTTCATGTTGAATTGAGTATTTTATATAGAACTGTTAAAGGGCAGAATACTGTTTGCTTTAGCTTCGTTGCATCTGACCAAACAGTTATATTCGACTGAAGGGCATCTAAAACAAAAAGTATGGTTTACGGATCCAGCTTCATACCAGTGTTTTTAACCAGTCAAAACTGTATATAATATATTAAAAGCCATCTATATACCCTATCTATAAAAAGTATGGTTTACGGATCCAGCTTCATACCAGTTGTTTTTTAACCAGTCATAACTGTATAATATATTAAAAGCCATCTATCATCTATCATCATCCTTCCTTTAGAATGCTGAAAACCATTTTCATCCACTATAGCTAATTTTTACTTTTAAAGTCCCAAATGCATCCTTTATTATTGAACTCTTTTCTAAGAATGTATGTTTGAATCATCATTAATAGCATAAAAAAATATTTAAAAAATGAATTCCCATGCTTTTCTCTCTGTTATAATTATGAATTTATGGTTATGTCATTTTTCGAGGCTTCATTTAAGTGATCAGTGATGCAAAATTTACTTTGTATTTAACGCCCACTCAGAACAGAAACTACTTTACATGAATTTACAGTTAAAAATAAATTAGGTATTTCTAAAACACTGAAATTTATCGCGAAAAATAGGGTCTTTCTCATAGTAATGGTAATCGTCACCATTGTTTTACTTGGCCAATTCGGGTAATAAGTAATCCCAGAATTCGCGTAGTAATATAAAACTACTGAAGTAAATGTTCTTTGTTCGGGTAATTTTAATAAAAGAAGAGCTATCTGGATTTAAAAAGTTGATAAACGTATAAATACAGTTCTATTAAGTCAGAGCTAGATTCAAATTCATAACCAAAATTACTGTTCAAGAACGCAGAGGTGAAACAATTGTTTAACTCGACGTAAAAGGAAATCGGACGCATGTTACAGTTCAAGGGCATTTAATGAAGCTTTAATTCTTTTGTCTTCTCTACGTATAAGATACCACTGAGATAATCTGTAATTAATTATAAGTCCTTATCATATCAGTATCGATGCAGGTAGTGTAGGAACATATATAGCATGTTTAGAGGGTGATATAAATACCATGCCATGTGTTTCTATTGTCCCCAAGATCTTTAAAGCGCAGGGTTTCTTATATTATAGACAACTGTTTCCTCAATCAAAATATTAAACTTGAAAATTCCATTTATTGTGGTTGGTCTTCTGGAAAATTTTAAAAATTATGCCAGACGATTAGTTGAACTTAAAGATGACCTTACTTTAAAAAGAGAGAGAGAGACGCTCCTGAGTACTATTCAACAATATATTCGAGAAGTGGTGTTAAAGACAATATGCAAAATAATTTTACAAATGACCAATGGCAGATAAAGTTACTAGTTCTATTGTTCCATATTTTGATGTCATACAAACGGTATGATTCCAGCTTCACAACCCCCATATTGTGATTATATCTTCAATCTAACACGCTCATAGAGCTCAGTTGAACGCTTGCTCTGTGATCGGAAAGTGGTCGATTCAAACTTATTCAAACAAAATGACTGCATGACCTAAGTTAATAAGAATATAGGTCGCAACTGTTTCTTCGCCAAGCGCTCGTTACTTGAAGTAAAAGTTGAGAATATTTCGGAGGGTCGTTAAGATACGAGGCTCCAAATTTCGGCTGGCAGGAACAATAACAATTCCCTCTTGGACCTTATCAAAGACCCTAAATGTCAGGTAAAGGTTTAAATTTTAAGCCCTCCCACCAATACGCAATTTTGATTTGATTATTTGAGAAACTTTTTGAAAAAAAATAAAGAAAAATAATGTTATAAGTATCTTGGAATGGATTTCTATTCAAAGTAAAAATTCATGAAACAAGCATGAACTGTCACAAAATATTAGATGAACAATTCAAAAATAAAACAATTTTTCTTATTTGTACAAACAAATTAGACAAATTGTCGAGATTTGCAAAATGTAACAATATTAGACAAACATAAACAAAGTCGGAAACTCCTGTATCCTGTACAGTGTTTTGAACTTCTGTCTTCAGAGTTTTTTCACGATTTAAGTAATATATTAAATTCATATTTACTCTCCAAATACAACACTAGGCAAAGATGATGTAGCGAATTCTGGAAAAAAAAGAAATGAATAATTAGAAAACAATTATTTGAAAAAGATTTTTTTTTCAGTTTTTATAGAATGAGTTGTTAGTAAAAAAATATCTCCGAGGTTGGTATTAACATGAGAAAAACTCTTTTTCTTTTAGCTTAGCCATGTTAGCTGCAAGTGATTTCCGTTGTTGTCGATCTTATAGATTTTGCTTTTTCATCTGCTTTTTGTGTTGTTTTGCATATATACATTCCCACATATACATCTTAAAAATACTCTCTGGTCCATTCATATAACTACCTATTTTCGTAATTTTCATAGTTTTGGGGGTCTTAAAAACACGAAATGTAAAATGCCATATATGCAGGAGTATTCAACAATTCTTCATCCTCGATATCAAATCCCCACAAACTCTTAGTTTTTCCTAAAACCACGACATTTTGACGCCACAAAATATGAGAATTTACAGTATTCCTATGAATACACATACAGGAGCATATTAAGAAGGTATTTATAAAACCTAATTCCAAAGCCTTTCAGGATTTATCGTTCACAATCCACGTACCTTTAAAATTGATCGATCCGTCCCCGTCCGTATCTGCAGCACTAAAGATTTCGCGTACTTTATTAAGATCGTGATGCTCCTTGTTAAATGCTAAAGCTCGTACAAGTTCCTCGAAGGAAATCACACCATCATTATTCGTGTCTATCAGCATAAATGATGCTTTGTAACGTTCACAGTTCAGATCTATTTGTAGAAAAGTGTCTTTCATGAGAAGGACATACTCTTCAAATCCTATACTGCCATCTTCTGCAATTAAAACAATGGAAGAGTGTCATATTGAAATAAAAATGCTTCTTTTAAATTCAATGTGTTAAAAGAAATTTAATTTTACAACAATAAAAAAAATACAGTATAAGCCCTTTGTATTTTTAAGTTCGATTTTCTTTCTGAAAGCCATCTAAAAATGATCAAAGAATTTTGTCACTTTAAAATAGAAAAAACAAGTTAATAAAAATTTGTTTGAGAATATTTTCTATCTTTGCTTTTCAATTTTTGATTTGATTCTCGATTGGACTGATGCACTGAATATGCATTGAATATTTCATACACAATTTTTACTTTAGAAATGGAAAAAATAACTTAAGGTACATTTATGAAACATTAATAGCATTTCAGCTCATCTAACCCTCCATTATAAGTTATTTTATAGATCATCCTTTGTGTATGAATTATATATCTAAATTTAGATTAATTAGCTCGCTATTTAAAGTGAATCAATAAGTTATCAAATGGACAGGATTGAAAATTCCAGTATATCATAACTTGCTTACGTTGTTCTCATGTTTTTATAATTCTGTTTTACTAAATTTCATTATGTTCATTTGTACATCAATCCTTTCCATGAAAATTAAAAGGTAGAAGATTTATATACTTATGGCTTTATATATGTTATACGTTGCTTCAGGACTAAGATTTACGTACAACAGTCTACTCACTATTGAGATCTACGCTCTCGATCAGCTTTTTCGATTCCTCCAGTGTAATATTAATACCCAACAATTTTGCAGCGTCTACTAGTTCTTTTTTCGATATTTTACCGTCTTTATTAAGATCGATGGACGAAAACGCTTTCTTGAACTCTGAAACAGTAGAAAAAGTAGGAGATATATCAAAATGATAAGAGATGAAGGACTCATAAAAACTACTCTTTGAAAAATTCTAATAAATGGTTCGACCATACTGCCCATATCAATGTTTACCTTCATCATTCAACAATATTGTTAATATGTTTCATCCTAAAGAGATGCGCTTTTTTTTTTACATAAAATAGAAGGTAAATGTGATAATGATTTCATATAAATACTTCATGAAAAATCATATAGATGTAACAATTTATTATATTATCGCTATTTATCACTCTGGATTTACACAATTTACAGCAGATGAATAAAAAGGGATTAAATAGTGGTCATCATATTTTACCCATTATTCTGAACAACTATTTCCACAATTGTAAAAAAATCAATCTTTGAGATTTTAGAATCAACCAAGAGCAATTTTTCCAGACATCTTTGATTTACCAATCATCTAACTTCAAAATGAAAATTCTAATAACCGCCAGAGCCTCCTACAAAGTCATTGACTCAATGTCGAATTACAGCCATTATACCTTTTGCACTGAAGTTAATATCGTCTATTTCGAATTGTTTTTATATACACTTGGATTACCATTGTAATATCAAATTGACTGTTCATTTGTTTTCCTTTTTAAATGGACCACTCCCTCGATTTTTTATTACTTTTCTAACTATATCAGAAGTCGTTGACCTCTAATTTCTAATAACCCAGATGAATCAATCACCATGGCAGCTTAAAGTATACGATATACATGTATATGATATATACTAGTGGAAAATGAAGATAAGGAAGAGTAGTCAGACTCTAAAGTAATGAAACATAGGGAGACAACGAACAGTATTTAAGATCAAAAGTCCATAAAACAATACAAAATAGGAGCAGAGCAAACACAGAACTCCAAAACAGCAGAGGTGGGATCAGGTGTCATGGAGTAATTGAAACAATACAAATCGTGAGCAGATAATGAAATCTGATGACGCTCACTAAAAGTTGGATCAGGTGCCATGGAGGAGTGAATATCCAAAAAGGAAGAACGATTTGTTTTAATCTTGGTGTTCATAAAAAGTACTGACAGCAGAATGTAAGTGTTAGAAATTTGATGGAATCCTAAAAATGTTATATTGCTTAATCATATATAAAATATAAGAAATATAAAATGAAAAAGCAAATCAAATAAAACAAGGAAAACTTATTCTGTCAACTTAATCCACATGCAGAGTAAAACTTATGCCAATGAATATTTCAGATCCAATAAGAACAAAAAGGATCAATGAATTTAGAAAAAAAAAAAACATTGAATGCATATGAAAATTCGTATGCCAATTAGCTTACCTTAAGATTAAAATGCAATTGAAATAACACGTCCATGTAGAAAATGTTATATGTTCTAGTACAAATACATATAAAACAAAGTAACAGGAAAAAACAATACGAATACGGCATAAAACACGAAACCTCCAGAAATTCCAGAGGTAGATCAGGTGCTTAGAAGGATTATTTATCCCCTGCTGACCGGTCACACCTGCGGTGAGCTCTACATATATATTTACCTAGTGATTGACTTGAAATCTGGTTTCCCTTTACTAATTTATCTAAGTTATGAGAATAATGAAATGATTCCTTACACATATATCAATTAATGATTTAATGCTATGTCGATAGAAAACAGATCCTAAAGTTGGTGACGAAATTCGTGAAAGAACTTTTCTGAAAAGAAAGTACCATTTACTAATATTTTTTTCAATGGAAGACGTCTATTTTTTCCACAGTCATTTGTTTTGACAGAAGCAATTTATCGTTTTCATATGCCTTATCTTTCTTTCTTTATTCTTATTAATTCTTAATGCAGTGGTCTATATTTCATTTTCATAGAAACACCATTATCTATCCCCTCTGGATTTTTGCTCCAGCAACAAAATCGTTTTTTTAACAACTTAAGAAAAACCGGAGAAAAAACAGTGTGATTAATGTATGATTTTTCTGCAATACATTTGAATGGAGATTCACTCAAAGAAGAAACCAGCCATACTTACCGTCTATTTGTTCCTGCGTCAAATCCTCGGTAACTTCTGCTAATAACCGTTTGGATTTTTTGTCTGTAGACATGGTTGAAATTTATTTCTGGGAAGAAAAATTCATAAGCCTCTTTATTTATAGCCACAAGGAGACGATAAAGGACAAGATTCTCGTCACTATTTAATATATATACTGTATACAAATATAGGGGAAAAAAAGAGATATACACATTTGTTTATTAAAAGAGACATTGAAGTGCGTCAGATTGAGGATCCGGGAAGTAGCTGTCGTGTAATAAGCTCGGTCTTATTAACTGTTTCTCATAACCGACAGGCTTTATTTAAAACTCGGAAGAAAATTTTAATCAAAACGCTTAAAATTAGAAGTTGGAAGGGTTGGTCGTTTTTATAAGAAAAACTGTTCTTTGTATAATTCAACAGATTTGATCACAGGTGCATAGCTTGCATTCTCGTGATCTTTTTTTTTCCAAATTACGAATATTTGCGAAATTCTTTTATTCATCCCTGATTTTATCTAGTTTTGAGAAGTCAAGCAGTAAAATTCTTTTCTTTATTCATCTACTTTTTCTGTCTAGCTTAAGTAAGTAAATTCTAGCACATATTTCTTTTTTTCTAAAGTTAAGCTTTGTTATCATTTGAACATTACAGTTTATATTCTTTGTGTTACACCTGTTACTGTACACGGTTGATTTGCACCTACATGAGATTTTTTTATGTTATTTAGCAAAAAAATACCTTCTGGGTAGTATTATCTCGCGGAATTTAAATTACAGTATCCAGACTGAATATGTATCCGAAACTAATAAACAAATTCAGGGCGAAAAAGTCGCTCGAAACTCTTTTCTGACAGAATAATCCATTGATACAAAAATTTACAAAATGTTACTAATACTTGTATTAATTTAATTAGTTAATTTATGCATGATTAACGGTTACTTAAAAATGCAACTTACTTTGGTGTAAAATCAGTCAAAGCCAGACAAATTGCATTCCAGTTCCGGCTTAAGTTGTGAAAACTGCTGGCATGTCGTTGAATAAGTAACCTGTACTTAAGATTTAAAAGATTAATGTTATGCATTGAAATTAATATTGAACTCAATTACAATGACATAAGTATGTCTCTAGATAATTAATTTCTGCATATGACCTGTTTCGAAATTCGATAAAAATTGTTGAAAGAATATTGGCCTTAAAGAGAAAATTTCACAAAAATAGTGTCACATTTAGACTTACCAAGATTGAATAGAAAATGCCTTAGGGATTGTAGTAAGGACAGTTTGGATTAAAATGATGTTGGGGCCAGATTTGATGTCTCTAAAATCTGATAAATATTACGAGTGTTTAGTAAATGAACACACCATATATAACCGCTAACATGGTATTTTACGAGAGTCATTCAGTAAATAACACAACTTACAGATTATCTTAATAATTGTAGAGGTATTTAATTAACTTTTATTTTTAAACAATTGAAAAGTTCATCAAAGATCCTTCAATTACAGAAAGTCCATGATTTTTCCTATTGTCCTTGCAAAGAAATCTTTTTTCTTTCAAAAATGCAAGGAAACAATCAAGGGAAGATTGTATAACATCGGGTATGTCATGGGAAATTATATTAATCAGTTTGTATGGGCATCCCTAATGATGAGTAAGCAGAGGTTTTCTTGCAATGGGTACAAAGACTTTAGACATGTGTAAAGGGTAACAGAGGATGCTTTTGATAACCTATATTACACAACAAACAAGGGGTTTTACTGACACAAAAACGATGCAACCGAAAATTCATTAAAAAAATTAAAAGAATGTAAAACAAGATTAGGATTCATAAAATTTATTTTCATGGTATGTTTTGGACACTTTTAAAAGGTCTGCAATCCGGTGACCTACGTTTAATAAAAATACAGTTATGAAAGTATGTCAAGTACCCTGGCATTTAGCTTTTACTTTGATGAGAATTTAACTCAAGCTCCTAGTTGTTCTCAATAAAATGTTACATTTAAAATCTCATTATAATACAAACTAATTAGCTCTAAATACAAACCTCTGAAGCAAATACATTTCCTATAAAAATGCAAACGCACAGTCTGTTGCTATCAGTGATAATTTTATGTATAAAAAGAAACCACACAAAAGTGTTTGAGTAATGCTTGAATAAAATCACACTAAGAGGGCGGAATTAATTTACCACTTGATACAAATAATGTCAACAGCGTGTAAATAATCTCGCTGTCGTAAAAATACCATTGACTAGCCAGAGGTTTAAGTTTCTGGTACGTCGGAGGTGGGAAAAGTAAAAGGATACATAAAATGGATGTTAAAAGTACTAGGGAGGGGAAATAAAGAGTCGTAAGGTGAAGTAATGATGATAGGAGGCAAGGGAATAATAGCAATGAGAAACGGGCAGATGTAGTATGTGGAGATAACGAAAAGTATTCAAGCTCAAAAGTCCATTAAAATACAAAATAAGGCCAGAGCAAACACGAACTCCAAAACGTCAGAGGTTAATTAATTGGATCAGGTATCATGTATGAGTGAGCATCCCCTGCCGACCGCTCCTCTTCATGATAGGAAAATAACTGAGAAATCAATAGACAATTTAGTGTGTAAATAATGACAAAACAATTAGTATGAAAAACGTCAGTCAACATTTGACTTAATGATTCACTGAAAATTGTATTTGTTTACAAGGTCATTGTTTCGACCACGGAACTTCCGAAATGACGAAGTCAAACAAGACTGCTGAGATTCTTGTGTCATCAACTTGTTTGTCTTACCTCGTTTTAAAAATTGTTCATACGTAGAGCATGTTCTTGCGTATCGAATCAACTGAGATATAAACCGCGAATGCAGGGAAATGAAGATATATTTGAAATTGAAAACAATTGAAAAGTTAAAGTCATCTCGTTTGTCATAAAGCTTGGTTGTTAGATAGCCATTTCAAGAAAAATATCTAAATATGAAACAGATGTGTCAGGCTCTGTGATTTCTTTTATTTCAAGTTCACCAGGATTATCATATCGACATAAGAATGGAAATAACTATTGTAAATTGACAATAAGTCGTCGATATAACGAAACTTTTTAAGACACAATGCCATTGTTTTATTTCAACGAAACATGTTGAAGTCCTGTTTGATACAATTTTCAGAATGAATTGAAAATATGCACATCTTGAAATTCCTTGACATACGTTAACAATTGAGTCATATGTTCTCGTTCAAATATGGTTGATTTTTTTTTAATTAAAATGTGTTTAGTTTGTTTCAAATTAAATCCATTTCTTATTGAAGTCATGCAAGAGATTAAAAGATTCAATTATGAGTTTATCTTAAAACACATGTAAAATTTTCTTGACGATTATCCAAATGCAATTTTCTGCCAGTAGGAATAAATACTTTAATTTGTGTTTTTACTTCAGATTCTATATCTTAATTATTCAAATGCAACCAGGCAAATGCAATTTCGAGCTTAGCGAACATGTTTTTGTAACCCATAAACAGTACACGATGGCAATTATATTTTATGCGGTGATTGGGAGATTAATACAAGGGGTTTGAGATAATTAAATACAAGGGATTACATGCAAGAACAACTGTGTTTACGTGTTCTTTAAATATGAGAAGCATCTAGTAACTAATGCTTGTAAGCAAATCAGGTTTATTAATATATACAAATCATAAAGCATGCAAAAAAGGAAAATTGTAAATGATATGTGAAAATGAAAATATAACATTGTGATTTACATCAAAACTGAAACATGTGAAATGGAAAGAAGACAAACTTGAAAATTTTAGATGAAATCTTACCTGTTTAAACTAACTCGGTAATTGTTGGGCTGGTACCGCTATAAATCGCCCATCATAAAACGTTAAACTACTACAATGTCGGGGACAAATCAATAATGCTATGTAAGGATATCATTTATAAAAATATAGACTATATATCCACTCTAGAAAATGCCTGTCTAAATGTCGCACGTTGTACATATATTTCCTTCCGTCATGCAGTTTAACGATAATCTGAAAAGAGGCTTTGATTCAAAGACGATTGTGCGCGCAACTCTGATCTTTATCCATCGTCCGTGATCTAGAAAGCCTTCCGTATAATAATATTCCACTCGTAAAGTAAAATTCAAGAGTAGTAAAATAGGGGTTTGGGGGAAAATTGTTAATATATGATTAATAATGCACTTTTTCAAGCATGTAAAAACGTTTTAAGAAGAAAAGGGCAGGGAAGAAAAAAATATGGGGAAGGAATTTTGCACAATCTTCAAAATCTTAGTTCGTGAAGGGGGATGTAGGTTCACTCATTTTGAACATCAGTTTTTATCAATACATTACCACATCACCACTGTTAAATTCTGCCTTAAATGTCTGGGAGGAGGTGGCAAACAACCTTTGAACATTAAACAATAAAAAAAATCGTTTGGAAAAAGTGCTTCCTCCCATCCACCTACAATACGAAGCAAGTTGAATTCAGTGGGGTGACATTAACAATATATATGTGTCAAGAGTGTACTTTAACTCCCTTAATAGCTTCTGAAAACACCTGCTCTTAAACGTTAATTGTAAGCATGCAATGCACTCTTTTTCAAGTATAAAGTAACTGCCCGCGGTATATATAGTGATTAAATATAAAGATATAACGTTTCTTTTAAAATATTTGTCATCGTAAACCTTTTTGCATTAAAAAAAATGGTAAACTATAATTGAGAAGAGGACGGAGCCATTGTAAGATGGGCTGATTTACAGGTAGATATGAATAAGAATGTTTTCATTGTGAGATGCTGTGTCAAACAACTGGTTACTACTAAATTCTTACTTTTGGCTACCTGTATCGGATAAGAAATGAATAATTGAAAATTGGAAATCTCTGTACTATATTTAATTTAGAGAAGAATTAATACTTCTTAATGCATGGAAACACCTGTCCCATTGAACACCTGTAGATATTAATTTAATGCTTCGTAAACTTTCAAAATTATAGAAAGAATTAAAACAAATGTAGAAATGACGTAGGTATAGACACTTGCAAATTTTAAATCTTTTAATACATGGTTTACAATCTTTAAAGTCCATTCTCCTTGAATAAGACAGATATTCTGTGAATAAACTCAAATCCATAGACCATCACATAGTGAGATTTTTGTTAAGAGGGGTTATAAAAGAGTTCGTGGACTCATACGATATATATAGGATCTCACATGATTTGTGGTTGGAAATGATTTTTATCCAACAAGTTGTGTTTTTATATAGGACTCCACTTCATTTTACTTCATCACTCTAACCAAAAACCAACTGAGAAGTAACAACTGTGGGATAACGAAAACGATATCATATGAGCTATATTAACTGGATAAAGGTGTAAATATGGGATAAATAAATTCAATACTGTGAAGCCTGCTTTTTACAAACTTAAATAAAACAATCAAAGTTCTAGAAGAGATACCCTAGTATATATTGCTATTTTGTGGAGACCAGATCTTCCAACAATACGTCGGAATTCCCATGGTACTAATTCAGACCTATATTCTAATTCCATGTGAAGCAGAATTAAGTCCAATTATTTAACATGAGAAGAAGCCAACACTTGCTGTGGCCTTTAGTTCAACAATTAGATATATCGACGAGGTTTATAATCAATTAACAAAAGTTGTCGACACGAAATATACCCTAGTGAACTTGATATAAAAAATACTACAGAGGCTGCCACATCTCTTTCTCTTGTAGTGATATTTTGCTACAGAAAGACGCTAAATGGTAACAAATATTTCTGATGAACGTGATGCTTTTAATTCTTTTTTTGTCCACTACTCTTTTTTATGTAGCAATATATCCGTATCAACTATATACGTTTATATTTCCCATTTGATTCGATACATAAAAGCATGTTCTCTGATCGATACAATGACCTTGACAGCAAATACAATCTGAAGTTTCTCATGAAATATGTGGAGATGAAGAACAGTACTCGAGCCCATAAGCCCATTAAACATTACAAAATAGGAGCAGTTTTTAACAAAGTTAGTGAATTTCTAGTGGTACAAGGTGACTGGAATGCTAAGGTCGGAATATATGCTCAAGCAATCTGGAAGGATTTTCGCGGACCATCATGCAACCCTACAACAAATGAAAGAGGTTATCAATTGCCTGAGTTTGCCGCCACCAACAAGCTTGTGCTGGCAAACACACTGGGACTCCACAAACCATCAAGGAACTGGACATGGACCAGCCCAGGTGGCCAATACCGAAATCAGATTGACTACATTATGGTCCAAAAGCGCTTCAAAGCAGGAGTAAACACAGCACGCACGCGTACCTTCCCCGGTGCGGACATAGGAAGCGATCATGATCTGGTCATGATGTCATTCAGAGTCCATCTGAAACAAATCAGGAAATCCAAGTTTACCAGACTTCGATTTAACCTGGAGTAGTTAAAAGATCCGAATATAAGAGATGAATTTCAGGCGATGATCGGAGGGAAATTTGCAGCCCTGACTACACTGGACGAAAACAGCTTCGATCTTGAATCAGTGGTCAAGTCTTTCAACGACGCTATAGTTGAATCAGCCAATGAGAGTTTGGGGAAACACCAGCGCCCCAAAAAACCATAAGTTACTGCCAGCATCTTGGAGCTATGTGACAGGAGACGAGAGTAGAAAAAACGAAAGACAACCCAGTAGGAGCTCAGAAATACAGAGAGGCAAACAACAAAGTCCGGAAGTAGTTGGATAAAGGCAAAAAATATATGGATTGAAAAACAGTGTTCAGAAATCGAAGAAACCCTTCAAAGGAACAACACTAGGAAGGCATATCAAGTGGTAAAAGACCTCACCACAGAGAAACAGACAAGACCAACAAGCATAATGCTTATCAAGCATCCAAAATAAGTCCGGAAAATGCCTAGCTGAGGAAAAAGATATACTAGACATATGGACAGAATACTGCTTCGAGCTATACAACTACCAGCTCAAGGGAGTCCAAGCATTATTAAATTGCCTAATGGCAAATACAGAGGAGGATTCACTTCCAATCTTACGAGAAGAAGTCGAGGCAGCAATCAATACTATAAAACTAGAGAAATCAGCAGGTATCGACAACATACCCTCAGAACTGGTTAAGGCAGGAGGAGAAGCAATGATCACAGCTCTTACAACCATATGCAACAACATCTGGAGCACTGGAATTTGGCCAACTCCATGGAAACAATCACTGTCTCAGATTATCACCTTACCAAAGAAAGGAAATCTACAGCTATGTAACAACTACCGGACCATCAGTTTAATAAGCCACCTAAGCAAGGTGATGCTGAAGATCATTTTAAATCGACTGAAACCTGTAGTAGAGACCATCATTGCTGACGAACAAGCAGGCTTTAGAACAGGAAGAAGTACCACCGAACAGATATTCAATTTATGTATAATCTGCGAGAAGTACCCACGACACCAACAAGACCTCTATCATGTGTTCATTGATTTCAAAAAAGCCTTCGATAGAAAGTGGCATGCTGCCTTATGGACCAACATGAGGAAATACAACATCAAAGCCAACCTTGTTCGAGTGAAGAGCTATACAACAAGGCCACTAGTACAATTCTCCTAAATATTAGCATTGGTGACTGGTTCCGCACAACAGTAGGAGTACGCCAAGGCTGCCTGCTTTCTCCTACCCTCTTTATCATCTTGCTTGAAAGGATTATGGATGATGCTCTTGATGATCATAAAGGCACAGTCTCCATCGGAGGAAGAACCGTCACAAACCTGTGATTCGTTGATGACATTGATGGCCTTGCAGGGAAAGAGACAGAGCTAACCAGCTTGGTGAATCGCCTTGACCAAGCAGCTTCTTCATATGGTATAGAGATAAGTGCAGAAAAAACAAAGTTGATGGCCAACAACACTCAAGGCATCACCTCAAAAGTCAATGTTAGCGGTACATGTCTGGAGACAGTGAAGTCATTCAAGTACCTCGGATCCATCATATCAGACGAAGGCTCCAAAGCAGAAATTATAGCAAGGATTGCACAAACAACTGCAGTGTTAGCGAAATTACAAACCATCTGGAGAGACAGAAACATCACTCTACGCCCGAAGATCCAGTTAATGTGTTCCCTTGCTATGTCGGTCTTCCTTTATGCCTGTGAGACCTGGACTCTCACTGCTGAGCTAGAAAAGAGGATCATGAGCACTGAGATGAGATGCTATAGGAAGATACTAGGCATCAATTACACGGACCATGTGACCAATGCAGAGGTCGACGGGACAGTCACAGAAGCTATAGGACCTCACAATGACTTTCTCACTATCGTCAAGAAGCGGAAACTAAGATGGTACGGCCAAGTTTCACGCTCAAGTGGCCTTGCAAAGACTATCCTGCAAGGCACAGTGAAAGGAGGACGAAAACGAGGAAGACAAAAGAAGAGGTGGGAAGACAACATCCCTAAGTGGACTGGACTGAGCCTAGCAGAAACCCAGAGAGCGACAAAGAGATTTATGGATAAAAGTATCCGTTATAGATAGGTCTTCAAAGGTGTCCCAACGACATCCACGGAAGTCAAGGTATGGGAGAAGGTAAAGGTGAAGTGAGTTTTTGGTAGATGACCGATTCAGTGACAAAATATTATAATTAAGTGTTCAATTTTTATAAAAGTATTATTACATGATATCAGAAGGACTGATAATTAATTTATCATTGGAAATGATTGTAAGGAATATCAAGTCAGATATTTGGACGACATTTTGCGAAATCGAATCTTTCCTTTTAGTATCCTTTTAGTATCAGCATTTGATTAACACCACTTTTACTGGTGCTAATATTTTTACCGGTAGATAAGAGAATAAGTTAAAAATCTTCTAGTTATTCATTATTTTATTTTATAGTAATAAAAAGGGTACGATCGATCACAAAATAAGATAAACGAACAATAGAGCTCTTTGAACATTTTTTAGCACAAAGTATAACAAATGCTATAGAATGGGATCACCTGCCTCAGATAAGTAAGTATCACTGATGGTGGAGATTATGAATCCAAAGTAGGTTAGGAAGATCAAACTCAAATTTAGAATATTAAAATATTGAAGACTGAATTTTGATTATGGAGAATTTCATCTTTAAATAATGAATCCATCTTTTAAAAAATAATAATAACATATCTGTCCTTATTTTGAAGATATTTTTTGACAAAAGCTAAGTTCTAAAGTGTCTGTACAGCATTTTGATTCTTTGTTCTTATGAGTTCCTTATTCTGTTCATAATGGGTATTTTAAAGCAGTCGTAAGTGAGCCAGTTTTCTTTCAAATATTCTAGAATATAAAAAAAAATTAAAATTTAAAACATTGATGCACCTGTTGGCAGATATTACAAAGATTAAAGTTTGTAACTGCAAATCAGACTACTAGGAATCAAAAATCAAACATTTCGTTACCTAAGGAAACCAACGCTGAAGAACAGGAGGTAAAAGACATATAATAAAACCAAAAGGAAGATCTTGCCACAAAGAATACATCATTCTATCCAAAGAAATGTCCTGTCCAAAGAAATATGAAAGGGAAATATGAAAACCCTTGCAATAACCATTCATATGTTATATACAAGGTAAAAGACAGCCAGATGAACAGATAAACAGAGAGGTAAAGAGAAAGGCACACCAAGAACAATATACTCTCGATCCTTCGATCACAGGAGCAGGAAAAGGCTCGTTTCTATATAAACTGCATGTTGATGTAAAAAGAATTGGAAACTTTACAAATCAAAATAAACGTGATACATATATGCTTGTAAAACACTCATACCACCATTTAGCAATTCATGGCGAAGGTTCAAAGTCTGAGATCAAGCGTCCAAAAATGTAGAACCAAAAGAAAGTCCAGAGGCCATCTCAGATGGTCTGATCTGACTGGTCTGACTCAAAACTTTTTTTAACCTCCAAGAAACATTTTTTTTCTTTTTATACCTAATTTTTTCATCTACTCGTTATATGTATTTGTCATTTGCAAAATAGTTTTGTAAAAATCATTCTGATGATAAATACAAGTTTTATGATAAACGATAAGTACCAAGCTTTATGATAATCGCGATGACTTTAACTTTTCAGTCGTTAACTTCATTTATGCAGAAAATACCTTCATCACCTGCATACGGGCTAATTTATATCTCTAAGTTGAGTCGATACACAAGAGCATGTTCTACGAATGTACAATTTTTAAAATGAGGTTAATAAATGAAAAACAAGTTGGTGAAACAAGGATACCAGAAGTCATCATTTTTAAAGTTCTATGGTCGATATCATGACTGTCAGTAAATACAATTTATCATTGAGTCAAATGCTGACTGACGTTTTTCATACTGATTTTAGGCCATTATTCACACACTGAATTGTCAACAGTTTTTCCGCTATTTACTGATCATGACAAGGAGCACACGGCGGGTGTGACCGGTCGGCAGGAAATACTCACTCCTCCATGGCACCTGATCCCACCTCTGATGTTCTGTAGGTACGTATTTGCTCTGCTCCTATTATGTATTGTTGAAGAACTTTTGAGCTTGAAAACTGTTCGTTATCTCTATATACTTCATTCAAAAACTCCAACCGTTGAAAAGTAATGACCAAAGTTAAAGTTTTATACAAGATATCATATTCAACGGAACATCACTTCTTTCAAATAATGAATAAATACAAATAATGAATAAATCCCGAAAACTTATTGAAAATGTATGGTAATGATCTAAGTGTCCTTAAAAAAGTAGATTTTCCCTGCTATGAACTTTTTTCACTCCGTTCAGAAACATTTTCAAATGGCATTATCTCCTTACATTTTACGCACCGAGTAAGAAATACATTTGTCCATTTCATATATAATCTAATATTTACATTTCCAATGTCTTTGTCCGAGATAAAATTGCATATTTTAAATGTACTTTATTTCCCAATCAATGTTTTGCGCGGTTAAAAAAATCACGTGCAGGGCGGGGCAAATAGCTATAGACAGAAGCAGGGCTTGGAGCACGTGGATTGACGGAATCAAAGCATATAAATACCGTATAAGCAGAATTTTTAGCGAGAATTTAATTTTGGCATTATTAGCGAGGGTGCTAAGATCGCTAAATTTGAATATCGCTAAAAATTAATTGCGCTTAATTTGTAATAGTTTTTTAGTGAGCTTTTAAAATCGCTAAAATTACATCTCGCTAAAAGTAAAGTACCAATTTTTAAGGACAAATCGCTAAATTTGCGTCTCGCTAAAATTTCCACTCATACGGTATAAGGAATAATTGTCTTATTTTTCGATTTCATGAAGATGGTCAATCGACTGGCTTGCGTGATAATTTTATGCATAAACGCCGATCACACAAGCCAAACAATTGATCACATCATGAAATCGAAAAATACGACGGTTATTCCTTAATTATAACGTGCCTTTAAAGTTACCTGGGACGAAGTAGCATGACCTTGTTTAGATGTTGTTCTTCGTTGTATATCATGACATAATGAACACAGTTTTAGATTGTCTTCTTCCTGCTTTATCAGTCAAACATAAACAAGGCCTTGTTCTCGCCATCAAGGCTAAGTATTACGAAAAATATAATTCTTTATAAACAATTCATTGACTTTTCTATTCAAATCTGTCATGTTTATGACAAAAGCGTACACGTGAAATGGAAAAATGAATTTTCTATCTTCTGGTATTTTCAAATAAACTACACAAGTAAGTTTAAATGTTATGTAAATAATTAAGCCCACATTAAGGCTTTCAGGGATAAAAATTATAAATTCTTTTGAAAAATAAGCGGTGGATAAAAAAAATGAAAGAAAGGTTCTGGCGAGGCTCGAACTCGCGACCTTCTGCGTGTGAAGCAGACGTGATAACCACTACACTACAGAACCAGTCATATTTAAACAGAATTTATACCAGGAAAACCTCGAGGTGTGACATATCACATTGCTATATCCTTTCTCTCTCTCTCATAATAATTTCTTATTATGATATATATAAATATCAAAATTATCCAGTTTGTATGAAAATAAATGAAATATTTAGTATATCTACCTTACCGATAACAAATAAGAAAACCCTGAACAAGAAACTTTACTTCTAAATAATAATGTTTGCGAATGGCTTCATTTAGTAAATTTTGGTTATTCAAAGGTGGTCATCATATTGAAATTGATTATAATACATTTTTGAATTCTTCTCACGTTACCTTACAAGTTTACAGTCATGGGTAATATCAATGATTTCGTGGCTCTGTAGTCTGATTGCTGGAATTTAAATAAATATTAATTCAAATTTAATATTCGATACTGTATTCCTTTATTATGCTTTAACACGTTATACTGTGGAACTTAAGGTACCCAAGACAGTTCTTATCTGTTTCGATTCAGTGTTGATTCAAGGTTATACTCGCCTTATTTTTGCCGATTTCTTAAATCTTTTATCTCGAAATAAGAACATGTAAAACAATTGTTAAGTGGCATATTTACACCTATGAAAACATTACTCGCCCACTATTATGATATAAGATGTGAAGATCTTGAATTGAAAAGACATTTACTATAAATTGAAATAGTTGATTTCCTTTTAAATTCTTGAACCGACCTCGGCATTGGAAAGGAAGTTAGTTATGGTTATTTTCTGATCCAATAAATTCTAATCTTCACATCGAGGAATTAAATTATTAACCATATAGTAAGCAGATTGGCGCATTGAAAGCGTGCTGGGCCCATAAACCAGAGGTCCGAATATGGAAACCACGCTCTGCTTTTTTTAAAGGCTGAAATCAATCCGATAGCAGCTTCTCTTTTGTGTGAAGCGTCACAATCCAATCAAACAGATGCATGTAAATGTTTGATTTTAGTCAGCTGGTAATTGTATGAAATATATTAAGATAACGAACAATATTCAAGCTCAAAGGTCCATACATGTACAACAAAAGAAATTAGAAGCAGAGCAAACATGGACCAACAAAACCTCAGAAGTGGGATCAGGTGCCATGGAGGAGTGAGCATTTCCTGCCGACCGGTCACACCCGCCGTGTGCTCCTTGTCATGATCGGGTCGCAAACATCCGTCGTCAATTCAGTGTGCAAGCAATGGACTAACAATTAGTATGAAAAATGTTAGTCAGCATTTGACTTCATCATAAATTGTTTTGCTGACAAGGTCATAGTATCGACCATAGAACCTACGAAATGGTGAATTTAAACGAGACTGTTGATATTCTTGTTTCATCAACTTGTTTGTCAATTATTTACCTCTTTTAGACATTTTTCATACGTAAAACATGCTCTTGCGTATCGAATGAACTGAGAGATATAAACTTAGTATGCAGGTGATGATGGTATATTGCTGCATAGGTAAGGGAAGTTGACGATTAAAAAGTTAACGTCATCACGTTTATCAGACAGTTTGGTTAATTAACTTTTTTAGTATAATATCCAAATAGAGTACATATAGATAAACACTGGAAAATATTCCCCTTTTAAAATATACAAAAAAGAATAAATGAAGGTAGAATGAGAT